CCCATCAAAAGGGGATTTTAGTAAAACTATTATGGGGCTTAGGGGAGAAAAGCCGCTGAGGGCGGGGGTGGGGCCAGGTTGGGGCTGGAGCCCTGTGGACGGTGGGCAGCCCGCAGTGCCACCCCGAGCCTGCTCCCAGGAGCCTGAGTTCAAGGCTCAGTACCAGACTGGCCTTGTCTCAGCCCGGCCCTCCCCTCCCTAGCCCTTATTTAGTGTGTGTGCCCATTCTGGGACTTGAACTCACGGCCTGGGCACTGTCCCTGAGCTGTTTTTTTTTTTTTGGCTCAAGGCTGGTGCTCTACCCCTTGAGCCACACCTCCGCTTCTGGCTTTTTGATGGTTTATTGGAGATAAGAGTCTCACGGACTTTCCTGCCTGGGCTGGCTTTGAACCGTGATCCTCAGATCTCAGCCTCCTGAGTTGCTAGGATGACAGGCGTGCGCGACAGGCATTCAGCTCCTTTAGATTTTATGACTTCAGGGGGGCAATAAATGTGCTGTACTCCTTTCGTAGTCATATAAGTAGACTCTCCTCAACTTAAAAACCCGTGTGCATGGAATCTACCTAGTTGTATGTTCTGTGTGACTACGTGTAGTGTAACAGAATAATATATGCACAGACATCACTGGGTTTTCTCGGGTGGCGTCTGGAATTGCTCATCATGGACGGCCTTCCCTAGGTTCCGGAATCATCTACATGGATGATGTAGGCTTCAGGCTTTGCCCTGGGGGTTCCCCAGGCCTGGAGGTCCCCAGTGCCCCAACGCAGAGGCCAGAGAACTCCGGGAGCCCTGTCCCCACTCCTGACCCAAAGCCCAGGGGAGGGACTCAGAGACCGGAGCCTGCGGCCTCCACGTCCCGGGCAGCGCTGCCCCCTGCTGCCCATGCAGGGGACTGCAGGCCCCACCTCCTCCCGCAGCAAACACACACCAGGCTCTGCCTGAACCGCGCTTCAGCCACTGCCTCACACCCGACCTGAACGTCACGCCGTCATCCCAGCTACCCAGGAGGCTGAGATCTGAGGAGCGGGGTTGGAAGCCAGCCCGGGCAGGGCAAGTCTGTGAGACTCTGATCTCCCATGAACCACCGAGAAGCCAGAAGTGGAGCTGCGCGGCTCAGGTGGTAGAGCCCCACACTTGAGTGTAAAAAGCTCAGGGACAGCGCCTAGGCCCCGAGTTCAAGCCCCACCACTGACAAAACAAAAACCAAAACCAACCCAGCCGTGGGGCCTAGTGGGGGGCTCTCCTGGGGTTTTGTCAGCACAGATGTGCCAGTTACTGTGTCTCCCCCCACTTACCCACCCCCCGGCCTTTGGGGTGAGAAAACCGGTGTCTCCTGAGACGTCACTGACCGAACAGCTCCATTCGACCTCGGACAATGACTCTGGTCTTAAGGAAGGGTTTCTTACCCGGCCCGGCCGGGCGTCGGGGCCCCTGGTGTGGGCGCTGCCTGCCGGGCTACGGCTGGCAGCGGCGATCGCTGGTCCTGAGGTCCGGCGAGCCTTCCTCCTCCTCCTCGGAAGAGAAGAGGGCCGAGACCCACAGCCAGGTCACTCACCCTAGAATCAGCACCGGGGGCGCTCCCAGCCATGGCACCCCTGTGTAAGAGGGACGGGGCGCAGGGTGGGCAACTCCAGGGGCGGTGGCCCGGACCTGCCCTGCAGTCCAGGCCTGCCCTGGCCCCGGACAGAGTCCCTCCCAAAGCAGCTGCCTTCCTCCTTAGTTACTGACCCTGACTTCCGTGTGTGTGTGTGTGTGTGTGTGTGTGTGTGTGTGTGTGTGTGTCCTGGGGCTTGAACTCTCAAGTCCTGTACTTGAGCTTTTGTGTTCAAGGCTGGTGCTCTACCACTTAAGCTACACCTCTACTCCCAGCTTTATTTTTGTCAATCATGGGGCTTTAACTCAGGGCCTGGGGCGCTGTCCCTGAGCACCTTTTGCTCAAGGCTAGCGCTCTTGAGCCACAGCGCCACTTCCGGTTTCCTGGTGGTTCATGGGAGATCAGAGTCTCACGGACTTTTCTGCCTAGGCTGCCTCTGAACCACAATCCTCAGGTCTCAGCCTCCTGAGTAGCTGGGATGACAGGCGTGAGCCACCAGCGCCCGGCTGTTGTTGTTGGTTCACTGGAGATGAGGGTCTTTCAGATGCGCTGTGTCTGGGCTGGCTTTGAACTGAGAGCCTCAGGTCTCAGCCTCCGGAGGAGCTGGGATGACAGGCGTGCATGCTGGTGCCCAGGCCCCTTCTCTTTGTGATGGAGACTCCACCCTGTACTTCCCACTGCTGGAACTATGAGGGTCTTTGTAAGCTTTGTTTTTGGTCAGTGGTGGGCCCAGAGGCCAGGCCCTGGGTCACGCCCAGCCCCTGATGAGTACTTCACCTGAGACCGGTGCGTTTACTCCTTGTTGCTGTCACACACACTTCCCCTCAGCCGGCCCAGCCCGTCTCCCCTCAGCCCTGGACGGTGACTCTCTACAAGTGCTCCTTACACATTTCTATCTAGCTACTCAGCGAGGTGACCCCGAGGCCCAGCTGGCCTCGAATTCCCCCCCACACCCTAAGATTTAGGTCCTGCCCTCTACCAAAGGGGTGGAATTTAAAAAGAGAAGGCCTTTGATGTTGAGGAAAGAGAAAGGAGAGAAGCCCCCTCCCCAGCCCTCCCTCCCCCCTCCCCAGCCCTCCCTCCCCCCTCCCCAGCCCTCCCTCTCCCCCAGCAGAAGGCAGGTCCCCCGTTGGCTTTGTTGTACAAATCTGATCTCACAAACCAGAGCTTCTTAAGTCTTGCAAACAGGCCTGGTCCCAGGGGCCACAGCCCTCGCCCCCTTTCTGTGTGTGCGACGGTACTGGGGCTTGAACCTAGGACCTGGGTGCAGTCCCTTGGCTTTTTCTCTTGAGGCTGGTGCCCTACCCCTTGGGCCACAGCTCCACATCCGGCTTTTTGGTTAACCGAGATAAGAATCCCAAGGCCTTTCTTGCCAGGGCTGGCTGTGTGCGAGGCTCTGTCCTGGGGTCTCAGCTTCCCGGGTGGCTGGAATTACAGGCGTGCTGCCCCAAGCGCCCTCTAGCCCTGCTTCCCCTCCTCACCTCCTCTGTGGCCCCACCACACCCTAGCCCCCTGCTCCTAGGTGTAGGTAAGGCCGGAAGAAGGGCTTTGTGTACCCCAAGCCCCCCGCTTTGTCCACCCTCTCCCGTGAGGGTCCCCTTCCTGGAGACCAGGCCCCAAACCTGCCCAGGGAGATAGGGAATTGGACTTCCCCTGTGGCCTAGTTAAAATCCTGGCTCCCTCATTGGCTGGGTGACTTAAGGCAGGCTCAACTCCTGAATCCCTCATTGGCTGGGTGACTTAAGGCAGGCTCAACTCCTGGATCCCTCATTGGCTGGAAGACATAAGACAGGCTTAAATCTGGCTCCCTCATTGGCTGAATAACATAAGGCAGGATCAACACCTGGCTCCCTCGTTGGCTGGGTGACTTAAGGTTTATGCCTTATAAGTAAAAAAGACCTGTTTTGCCAAGTTGCTTTGCCGGTTAAAATTGACAAGTGCTGACCCGAGCTCAGTCCTGGACGTTAGCGCGGGGCCTGGGGGTTTCCCTAAGCTGTTATTGCTCAATGTTGGAGCTACAGCTTTACTTCTAGACTTCTTTTTCCTTTTCCTGGGGCTTGAACTCAGGGCCTGGACTCTATCGGAGCCCTTGTGCTCCTGGCAAGCGCTCTACCACTCGAGCCACAGGGCCACTTCCGGCTTCCAGGTGGTTGGCTGGAGATGTTTCAGGGGGGCTGGGTGGTAAGAGCTGCTCAGGAGGCTGAGATCTGGGAATGGCTGCTGGAAGCCAAGCTTGGCCAGGAACGACCGTGGATTCCTTTTTTTTAATCTTAAGCGAACCACCAAAAAGCCGAATGTGGAGGTGTGGCTCGGGTGGTAGAGCACAGGAGCTGGGGGACTGTGCCCAGGCCCCGAGTTCAAGCTCCAGGTCAGGCTCACATAATAAGTCAGGGCAAAAGAAAAAAAGGGGCTGGGAAGGTGGCTCAGTGGTAGAGCGCTTACCTTGCATGCATGAGGCTCTGGGTTCGATTCCTCAGCACCACATAAACAGGAAAAGCCGGAAGTGGCGCTGTGGCTCCCGTGGTAGAGTGCTAGCCTTGAGCTGAAGAGCTGAGGGGCAGCGCCCAGGCCCAGAGTTCAGGCCCCACGACCAGACCCAAAAAAAAAGAGGGGGGAGGGGGGTGCGCAGGCGCCCAATTCAAACCCAGCAATGCTGAGACTGTGTGTCGGAGCCGTGGTGCACGCTGCCAGTCAGATTTTGGGGTGTCGGGTTTTGATGGGTGGTCTCGGAGAACAGCGAGCCCAGGAACTGCACCACCAGCTGACTAAGACAGCGAGATAAACGAGCTGGCCCTGAATGGAAGCGCCGGCTCCTCCTGTGGCCAGCCAGCCGTCCCCGAGGACGGACGGCTCCCCAGGAGCCCCGGGCAGGGCAGATGCCCAGGCCAGCTGCGGGCTCCAGACCCACCGTGGCTTTTGTGAGTCCTGAGAGCTGGGGTCCACCAGGAAAGCCATGCCCCCTCCCCTCAATCCCGAAGAGACACACGGGCCGCTCCGTGGTGGGAGCGGTCACCACCCCGCTTTCTGGGGAGGCCACAGGCTGGGGACCCCAGGCTGGAGTGGCCGTACCCACCTAATCTGCCATGGCCTGGGTCTGAGAACCCACTGCGGGGTGGGGGGCGGGAGGGTCGGCCTCCGGGCAGGTCCTGTGCCCCTAGGAGAAGGCCAGAGAGGGGCAGGACCCCTCCCCCGGGGGACTCGGCCACCAGAGCTTCGGCTGGCCGCCCTTTCAACTCCGCAGAACAATGGCTGGGCTCCTGCAGCCCCGTCCCCTCCTCCCCAGCTCGGTCCCCCCAGAGGCCCCGGCCCGGTGTCCGGGGAGGCTCTGCCCCCTCGCGCTCCCCCGTCCCAAGGCCCCGAGCCCGGAAAGAACTCAGCCACACAGGCGTCTCTTTTGCGTGTGCTTTTCTCTCTTTTTTTCTCAAAAACATACTTCATCTTCCTCTCGTTATATAAATATCATCGGTTTAGCCTCTTGCGGTAAGAATATAAACGTCTCCGGGAGCCGGGAGATCCTCTGTACAAATTCACAATCGGTGCCGAGCGCGCGGGGCGCGGGGGTCCCGCGTGGGTCTCGGAGGGCGCGGGGGTCCCGCGTGGGCCTCGGGGGTCCCGCGTGGGCCTCGGGGCGCGTGGGTCCCGCGTGGGTCTCGGAGGGCGCGGGGGTCCCGCGTGGGTCTCGGAGGGCGCGGGGGTCCCGCGTGGGCCTCGGGGGGCCGGCGTCCAGTCCTCCGGCCCAGCCCCGGCCCGCCGCAGTCCGGTGCGCGTCCGGTCGTCATCGATGAAGCCCCGGGCCGCGTCCAGTCCAGGCCCGGGGCGGCTGCGCCCCGCAGACACGGGGAAGAGGCGCGCAGGCGGCCCCGGCGCGGGCGCGGGGCGCGGGGAGGCCCCGGGCCGGCCCCGGCCTCACCTGACCTTCTCGCCGCCGTCCGTCATCTGCCACAGGCCCAGGTTGAGCACCTTGAGGCGCGGCAGCTGCGTGACGCGCTGCAGGCCGCGCTCGGTGATGCGCGTGCAGCCGTAGAGGTCGATGCCCGTCAGCTGGCTCAGGTGCTCGGCGATGAGCTCCAGGCCGCGGTCGGTGATGCGCGCGCACTGCCCGATGTTGAGTGTGCGCAGCCCGTGCATCTGGCGCACCATGCGGCCCAGGCCGTCGTCGCTGATGCGGCAGGAGCAGAGCGAGAGCGAGCGCAGCCCGTCCAGGCCCTGCGCGATATAGGCCAGGCTCTGGTCGCCCACCTTGTCGCAGAAGGAGACGTCGAGGCCGGCCAGGCGCAGGCCGCCGGTGGCCAGGTGCGCGATGCCCGCGTCGCTGACGCCGTCGCAGGCGCGCAGGTTGAGCGAGCGCAGGCTGCCCATGGCCGACAGGTGCAGCAGCCCCGCGTCCGAGATGCCGCCGCAGAAGCTGAGGTTGAGCGAGCGCAGGCCGGTGAGGCCGCGCGCCAGGTGGCGCAGCGCCAGGTCGGACAGGCGCTGGCAGTCCTGCAGCGACAGCTGCTCCAGCCGCAGGCAGCCGGCGGCCGCGCCGCGCGTCAGCCCGGCCAGGTGCGCGATGCCCGCGTCCGACAGGTGCCGGCACGAGCGCAGGTTGAGGCTGCGCAGGCGCGGCAGCCCCCAGGCCAGCAGCAGCAGCCCCGTGTTGGTGACGTTGCTGCAGCCGCCCAGCTCCAGCACCTCCAGCCCCTGCAGGAACTGCGCGATGCGGCCCAGGCTGCTGTCGGTGATCTGCTTGCAGAGGCTCAGGTTGAGCGCGCGCAGCGAGCGCACCTCGGCCACCAGCGCGTGGCCCAGCCCGTGGTCCGTCAGGTTGTAGCAGCCGCTCAGGTTGAGGCTCTCCATGCCCGCCAGGCCCTGCACCACGGCGCTCAGGCTGCGGCGCAGGCTCAGGATCTGCACGCGGCGGATGCCCCGGGCCTGCAGGCTGGGGAAGAGCGACGGGTTGGCCCGGCGCAGGTGCAGCTTGGCCTCCACCCCCCGCCACACCGACTTGTGGTAGGCGGCGTCGCGCCAGGCCGCGCACACCTGCGCCGCGCGGCCCTTGTCTCGCACGTCCAGGTAGCCGAAGATCATGGCGAGCAGCTCGGGGAACAGGCACGAGATGTGCGTCTCCATCTTGCGGCGCGGGGCGGGGGGGGACCGGCGAGGCGCGGGACGCGGCCCCCCCTCCCACCCCTCCTTCCGGCCGGCGCCCGCGTCCGTCCGTCCGTCCGTCCGGCCCGATCCGGCCCGCCCCAGCCTCACCGCCCGGGCCCGGAAGCCGCCGCCGCCGCGCCCGGGCCCGCCCGCATCCCGCGGGCCCCGCTCCGGGCCCCGGGCCCCGGCCGCTTCCGGCGCCGCCTTTGTCTGCCGGCCCCGCCGCTCGGCCGCCCCCCCCGGCCCGGCCCGGCGCGGCGGTGGGTGGAGGGGGACGGGGGGGGGGAACCCGGAGGCCGAAGCGGAGGGAGGGGCGCCCCCTACCCCCGCCGCCCGCGGAGATAGGCCGCGGCCGGGCAGCCCCGGCGCCGAGGACCCCGCGCGGCCCGAGCGAGCGCAGCTGGGCGCGGACCCCGGAGCGGGCGAGGCGGGCGCGCCGCCGCCGCCTCCCCGCCCCCCCCCCCCCGGCCCCGCGAGCACGCGCGGCCTTGGTAGCGCCCGGCTCCCCCCCCACGCCACACACACCCCCGCGAGTGGTACGCGCCGCCGCCGCCGCCTCGGCGCCCCCCCCCCCCGCGCGCGCACGCGTACAAACGCCCGGCTCCCCCCCCCCCCCCCCCCCCCCGCCGGCGCCCGCGAGTGGTACGCGCCGCCGCCGCCCCTCCTCTGCGCGTGCGCGGCCTGCCGCCCGGCTCGCCCCGCCGCTGCCCGCCAATGGTACGCGCCGGCGAGGCCGGAATGGGCGGGGCCGTTGCCCGGGAAACCGAGTTCCTTTCCCCCGCCCCCCACCCCGCCGGGTTAACCCTGTCGGCGCCGGGCCGCCGCGCGCCCTCGGCACCCGGCCCCGCCCCCCCGGCGGTGCCCGGCGCCCATCACCCACTTCCGCGAGGCCCTCCCAGCCCCGGGCGGGGGAGGCCGCAGCCCGGCCCGCGCCAGGCTAGCTTCGGGAACCTTCTGGAGGGATGTTCTAGAATCATCCGCCCTGGCTTCCGGGTCCCGCCGGCGGACCTTCCGGGTCCCTCGCTCGGCTTCCGGCCGGCGCTGCGGGAAGGGCTCCGGTCCCGCGGCCTCGCCGCCCGGCGACCCGGAGTCTGCGGCCGGGGCGGCCGCCGCGGGGCGCGCGCACGGGGGGGCGCCGGGCACGAGGGGCGCAAGCAAGGGGGGGCGCCGGGCACGAGGGGCGCAAGCAAGGGGGGGCGCCGTGCACGAGGGGGCGCGCGCACGGGGGGGCGCCGGGCACGAGGGGGCGCGCGCACGGGGGGCGCCGGGCATGAGGGGCGCGCGCGAGGGGGGGCGCGCGCACGGGGGCGCCGGGCACGAGGGGGCGCGCGCACGGGGGAGCGCCGGGCACGAGGGGCGCGCGCACGGGGGGCGCCGGGCATGAGGGGCGCGCGCGAGGGGGGGCGCGCGCACGGGGGCGCCGGGCACGAGGGGGCGCGCGCACGGGGGAGCGCCGGGCACGAGGGGCGCGCGCACGGGGGGCGCCGGGCATGAGGGGCGCGCGCGAGGGGGGCGCGCGCACGGGGGCGCCGTGCACGAGGGGGCGCGCGCACGGGGGCGCCGGGCACGAGGGGGCGCGCGCACGGGGGGCGCCGGGCACGAGGGGCGCGCGCGAGGGGGGCACGCGCACGGGGGCGCCGGGCATGAGGGGCGCGCGCCCACGCACGCACAGAGGCGCGGGCACAGAGGCGCGCGCACACCCGCGCAGGCGCGCCCCGGGGCTGCAATGGTCCCTGGCGGCGCTGTGGCCCGAGGAAGAGGGTTCAGGGACAGCGCCCGGCCCCGGTTCAAGCCCCGGGCCCTCCTCGAGGAGGGAGCGGGGCCTGGAGCCTCCCTCCTCCTTCCCCTCCCTCCGGCCCTCCCCCAGGCCGGGTTCCTCCGCGGGGTCCCGCCACCCCGACGGATAAATGGGACTCCACATAGCCAAGCCGGGCCGCCGATGTATTCCACGACATGAAAGCACAGAAGGGGGGGAGACCCCCGGGCAGGGCGGCCGAGTGGGAGGGCCCCCCCCCGCAGGGCGGCCGGGTGGGAGAGGCCCCCCCCCCCCCCGCAGGGCGGCCGGGTGGGAGAGGCCCCCCCCCCCGCAGGGCGGCCGGGTGGGAAGCCCCCCCCCCCCCCGCAGGGCGGCCGGGTGGGAGAGGCCCCCCTCCCCCCCCCCCCCGCAGGGCGGCCCGCGGAGGCACGGCGGAGACCTCAGCCCTTCACGTCCAGCGGCCTCGAGCTAGACTTGAACCCGGGGCCGGCCGCGGTCCCCGGCGCTCTCCCACTGCGCCGCAGCCTTCGCTCTTCCTGCCCAGGCCGGCTTTGAACCCGGGTCCTCAGCCCCCCGGGTCCCCGGGCTGACGGCGCCCGCTGGCCACCGCGGCCGGAGCGCGCAGCCAGCCTTCGCTTTTCTCTTTCTGGATCCTTCTTTTTGTGGGTCCCCGTTGTCCCCCGGCTCTGCGTGGGTGGACGCTGGCTGCGGGTTTGTGTCTGTCATTGGTGTGGGCAGGGCTGGGTTTGAACCCGGTGCCTCTGCGTGGGTGCCCGGGGATCCCGGGAATGGGGCGGTGGAGGGAGGCGCAGAGCGGAGCCCACTCCGATGAGGGCTGGGCGGCCTGCCCCTTCCCCAGAGCCTGCCCTGACCACCGAGGCGGGAGCCCCCGGCTGGGGGGTGCGGCCTGGGGCCGACCCCCAGCACCCTGGTCCCGAGTGGGGACCCCGATTCCTGCAGACGCAGCCCCCAGCCGGGTCACAGGGCCGTCACACGCGGGGGAGGGGGGGGCAGAGCTGCGGGAGGGTCCCGGCCGCCCTCTCGGGGCTTCCCTCCCTCCCTCCCTGGCTCTGTGCCCCTCCACCCCCAGCTTCAGCTCTGAGAAAGTTCCATGAGACTCTTTATCTCCAATGAGCCAGCAAAAAGCCAGCAGTGGCGCTGTGGCTCAAGGAGCTGAGCACCAGCCTTGAGTGAAAAAGCTTAGGGGCAGTGCCCAGGCCCTGAGTTCAAGCCTCAGGACAGACACACAGACAGACACACACACACACACACACACACGGCCCTCCTGGCTGGGCACAGAGGGGCAGAACCCAGGCATGTGCCCGGTGGAGCTGCATCCCTGGAGGGAGGTGACCGGCCCTGGCCTGGCCTGGGGGACAGGGTGGGGTGTGGGGTGCAGGGGCCAGCCGGGGAGGGGTTGGAGACTCAGGGACGGGTCCAGGGCTGGGCTGTTGGGACGGGGCAGCTCTCTGAAGCTTCTCCAGGGCACCCCCCCCCCCCCCATAAACCCATTAGCTCTTAGCTTGGCTGCAGTTCTATCTCTGGGCCAACTCCGGTGGCTCTGGTCCGTCCCCGGCCCTGGGGGATGGGGGGGGGGGGTCCCCTCAGAGGACGACCGCTTCCGAGCAGGCTCTGCATGACGAAGCTGGGGGGCGGGGGGGGGGGGGGAGCCGGTCCCTCCTCTGATCTGACTGCTGTCTCCATGCACCTGCGGACCAGGCCCCGCCCTCTAGCGGAGACCTTCGGTGGGGAGAGGCTGCGTCCAGCCCTAGCCACCGCCTTGGCTTGGTGCTCCAGGACCCACGCACCTGCCACCCCATCCCACAGAGCCTGAGGGTGGAGGCCGGCCGGCCCGTGAGCCGGGGCTGGGGGCACGCAGCGCGTGGGCTGGGGTGCAGGACTGTTTGGAGGCACCATGGGGGACCCAGATTGGGCGGGGGGGGGGGGGTAGGAGAGGCTTGTCTCACCTCCTGGGGCATGAACTTGGCCTGGGCACCGTCTCTGAGCTTTTGTGATCAAGGCTGGCACTCTACCACTTGAGCCACAGCGCCACTCCTGACTTTTTTTGGTGGTTCACTGGAGAGAAGAGTCTCACGGACTTTGCCGCCCGGGCTGGCTTTGAACTGCAATCCTCAGATCTCATCTTAGCCTCCTGAGTGGCTGGGATGCCAGGCACCAGCCTCTGGCGCCCAGCTTCCCTGGCTTCAACTCCTCCTACAAAGAGGAGCCTGAAGGTCTGAGCGTGAGCCCAGGGGTGGCGTTTGGGGTCCCCCTCTCCGGCTCTTGGAAGGAGCAGCCCTCCCACCTGGGCCGGCCAGCGTGGTGCACCCTGAGCCGGGGTGAGGAAGACCGTGCTGGGAAGGACAGTCTGGAAGGGATAGAGCCGGGCGCTGGGCCGCTCCAGCCCCGCTTCCTGGAGCCCGCCTCTCCCGTGGGCCCTGTCTGCTCAAGGACGTCCCCTTGGTTCTCTCCTCCAGGAAGCCCCTCCTCAGCAGGCCTGGGTCCCAGGGCACCAGGCCAGGCTGAGGCCCACCATGCCCAGCCTGCTCCTGCTGCTGCTGCTGCCACCCCTGGCCCTGCTCCCCAGCTGCTGACCGAGGCCAGCTCCTGGTGGTGCCTGCGTGCGTGTGTGGAGGGGGGCTCCTGGGGTAACACCGGAAGGGCTGGGGTGCCATGCCCTGGTGAAAACCGCAGTCAGTCAGAGGCACACCTCAGAAAAAGAAAACAAAAAGCCTAGCATCGGTGGCTCACGCCTGTCATCCCAGCTACTCAGGAGGCTGAGATCTGAGAATCACGGTCCAGAGCCACCCTGGGCAGGGAAGGCCATGAGATTCTGATCTCCCATGAACCACCAGAAAATCAGAAGTGGCACTGTGGCTCAAGTGGTAGAGCGCCAGGCTTGGGCTGAAAAGCTGAGGGACAGCGCCCAGGCCCTGAGTTCAAGCCCCATGTATAAATAATTTGCATACATACACCTTCGTCTTTGGTGCGATTCCTACTGACCAGTACTTGAGGGGTGAGTGGAGCGTGGCCGACTCTCTGTGGTCCTCCGGCCACGGTCCTGGCTGAGCTGACCGACGTGCAGGGCGTCAACCCCAGCTTTGCTCCGTGTGGGTGCCCTGTTTGTCCTTCAGTCCAGCTTTGTTTCTGGCATTTTACTAGGGTGTCAGGCAGGTGCTCTGCCACTTGAGCCACGCCCCGCAGCCCTTGCCTGCTCTGTTCTGCTCTTTCTTGCCTTTAGGCCCAGGCCCACCCGGCCCGTGGTCCTTCTGTCTGAGCTGAGGCCAGACTCAGCTTCCTAGTGGTCCAGGCAGAGTCTTGGACACTTTGTGCCTGGGCTTGGCCTGGAACTGTCATCCTTTTGCCCTGGTCGCCGCTTCCCAAGCAGCCGGGATTACAGGAGTGGGCCACAGTGCCTGGCTGGCCTTTTTAACCCTTTGTTGGGTTTTGTTTTGTTTTTTTATTTGTGCCTGTCCTGGGGCTCGAACTCAGGGCCCAAGCTGTTGTGCTCAAGGCTAGTGCTCTACCACCTGAGCCACAGCCCCGCTTTCCTCCTGGCTGGCTTTGAACCGGGATCTTCCGAGGAGCAGCTAGGGTTCCCTGGCCACCTCAGGCCTCCTACATCTGAGTGGCTGGGACTGTGAGGGGCGTCCAGGGCCTGCACCCCGTGCTGAGCCTCTGACTGTGAGGGGTGGGGGAGTCCCAGGGCCTGCACCCCGGGCTGAGCCTCTGACCCCGGGCTGAGCCTCTGACCCCGGGCTGAGCCTCTGACTGGGGGAGGGGGTCCAGGGCCTGCACCCCTGGCTGAGCCTCTGACCCCGGGCTGAGCCTCTGACTGTGAGGGGTGTCCCAGGGCCCACACCTGGGGCTGAGCCTCTGACCCCAGGCTGAGCCTCTGATCCCAGGCTGAGCCTCTGACCCCAGGCTGAGCCTCTGACCCCAGGCTGAGCCTCTGACCCCGGGCTGAGCCTCTGATCCCGGGCTGAGCCTCTGACCCCAGGCTGAGCCTCTGACCGGTGTCCCAGGGCCTGCACCCCGGGCTGAGCCTCTGACCCCGGGCTGAGCCTCTGACCCCGGGCTGAGCCTCTGACCCCGGGTGAGCTCTGACCCCGGCTGAGCCTCTGACCCCGGCTGAGCCTCTGACCCGGGTGACCTCTGACCCGGGCTGAGGCTCCGGCCGGGCTCCAGGCCCGCCCCCGGCCTCCCCGCGTGCGGCCGGCTGCCCGGGCTGTCCGCGGGCCGGCGGACGCTGTGCCGGCTGCACCGGGAGCTCCTGGCCTTCGTCGGGGCGGGCGCGCGGGCCGGCGTCCGCGAGCGCCAGCACCAGTCCCGACGCCTCCAGCTTCGGCCGCGTCCTGCGGATCGGTAAGAGGCGCGGCGCGCGTGCGCGGGGAGGCGGCCGGCGGGGCGCCTGCGCGGGGCGGGGCCGGAGCGCGCCTGCGCGCGGGTGTCCCGGCGGCCGTGGGGCCGTGTGCGCCTGCGCGCGGGCGTCCCGGAGGCCGTGGGGCCGTGTGCGCCTGCGCGCGGGCGTCCCGGAGGCCGTGGGGCCGTGTGCGCCTGCGCGCGGGCGTCCCGGGGCCTGGCGGGTTCGAATGGAAGCGGAGGGGAGGGGAAGGTGCGCGGAGTGGAGGAGCTGCCCGCGGTGCCGCAGGGCCTCCGGTCAGGACTTGCTTTGCACACTCTTGTGTGGAGCGTAATAAAAACATACCCATGTATTATAATTGCAGTATTATAAACACCACCATCAGATCCCATATTCCATGTCGGTAACACCAGCAACCTATCATACACCACCCACGACACCCCATAATACGCTATCATACACCACCCATGACATCCCATAATAACCTGTCATACAGCACCCATGACATCCCATAATAACCTATCATACACCACCCATGACACCCCATAGTAACCTATCATACACCACCCATGACACCCCATAATACCCTATCATGCACCACCCATGACATCCCATAATAACCTATTATACACCACCCATGACATCCTATAATACCCTATTATACACCACACATGACATCCCATAATACCCTATTATACACCACACATGACATCCCATAATAACCTATTATACACCACCCATGCCCATCCCATAGTAACCTATTATACACCACCCATGACATCCCATAATAACCTATCATACACCACCCACGACACCCCATAATACCCTATCATGCACCACCCGTGACATCCCATAATAACCTATCATACACCACCCATGCCCATCCCATAGTAACCTATTATACACCACCCATGACATCCCATAATAACCTATTATACACCACACATGACATCCCATAATACCCTATTATACACCACACATGACATCCCATTAACACCCAGTGACCTATTATACACCACACATGATATCCCATTGACACATAGTAACCTATTATATACTGCATATGATATTCCATTGACACATAGTAACCTATTATATACTGCATATGATATCCCATTGACACATAGTAACCTATTATATACTGCATATGATATCACATTAACAGAGAGTAACCTGTTCCTTTATTATATATCACATATATTATTAATACATAGAAGCCTATTCCTTTATGATATATCATATGTTTAATATTATATATTATACATATCATAATACATATGTAATTATATATAACAACATATGATATATTAATATATACTATATACATGTATATAATACATAATTATATTATACAGTAAGATAATATATGCTATATGACATGTTATTAATATACACAATATATTAATTATAATATAACAATGTAATATATCATCATGTAATATCATGTGTTAATATGTAATACTAAATTATATAACAAATATCAACACATACTGTATTGTACAGTATAATATAAATATATATTTTATTGTAATATGTTTTATTAAGTACCACATAATATATGTGTGTTATTATAATACCATATATGTGTGTGTATATATATGCATTTTTAAATTTTTATTTTTTGGTCCTGGGCTCAAACTCTGGGCCTGGGCGCCGTCCCTCAGCTCTTCAGCTCACGGCGGGCACTCTACCACCTGAGCACAAGTGCCACTTCCCGTTTTCTGGTGGTTCGTGGGAGGTCAGAGTCTCATGGACTTTCCTGCCTGGGAAAGTGCTGTTAGTCCATGGTAGGGACAGCCAGGCGGGTGACGGAGTGGCCTCGGACTGCCCCCCCCAGTCCTGGCAGGTTGATGGCAGCTCCTGACCCTCAGCTCCACTGGAGGCCTTCCCTGGGCCTCATCTAGCCTGCTGACCCATGCTACAGGCTGGGGACCCAGACTCAGGGCAGCCCCGGCGGGCGCCGCTCCTGCCACGAGAGGGCAGCAGAGGCCGTCAGGGCATGGGGCACCTTCACCCAGGCCGTGGCTGCCTGGGAAGGGTTGCATTGACGTATTGACATGGGGGTGCTCTCTCCCTCTCCCTCTCTCTCCCTGTCCCTCCCTCCCTCCCTCCCTCCCTCTTTCTCTCTCTCCTTCCCTCCCTCTCTCCCTCCCTCTCCCCCTCCCTCTCTCTCTGCCTAGCACCCTGTTGGCTGGGTTATCTTTTTTATTATTTTTTTCCAGTTGTGGGGCCTGAACTCAGGGCCTGGGCGCTGTCCCTCAACTCTTCAGCTCAAGGCTAGTGCTCTACCACTTGAGCCACAGCACCACTTCCGGTTTTTTCTGTGTCTGTGGTGCTGAGGAGTTGAACCCAGGGCTTCATGCGTGCGAGGTGAGCATGCTACCCCTGAGCCACCTTCCTGGCCCCTTCTTTTTACTTTTCTTAGGATAGTGCCTAGGCCCTGAGTTTAAGCCCCAGGACCACGTGCATGCGTGCACACGTGCGCGCACGTGCGCATATACACACACGTGCGCGTGCACACACACACACACACCGATAACAAACTTCTAGCCCCATGCTGGTGGCTCACACCTGTCATCCTAGCAGCCCGAGAGGCTGAGATCTGAGGATTGCAGTTCCACACCAGCCCGGGGAGCTTCTGCCCCCATGAAGCTCCCGGGGAGCTTCTGCCCCCATGAAGCTCCTCGCTCCGGAAGCAGAGCTGTGGCTGGAGTGCAAGAGCAACAGCCTTGAGCTTAAGAAGCTCACAGACCGTGCACTCCAGGTTCTGAGTTCAAGCCCCAGGGTGGGCATGCACGGGGGACAGGGCAGGGCTGGGCAAGGCAGGGCAGGCTGGGCAGGGCAGGGCAAGGCTGGGCAGGGCTGGGCAGGGCAGGGCAGGAAGGAGAGGATCGTGGTTCAGGGGCATCACCCACCCTGGTCCCCCCCCCAGGCAGCCGGGAGGCAGGCAGCCGGGAGGCGGCCTTCACGCACGCGGTCAGAGCGGCCAGGGTGGTGGACACCATCGCCTGGGCCTGCCGGGAGGGCGCACTGTCCACCTGCGGCTGCAGCCGGGCCTCGCGTCCCAGGGAGCTGCCCCGGGACTGGCTGTGGGGAGGCTGTGGGGACAACGTGGACTATGCCTACCGCTTCACCCGGGAGTTCGTGGACACGTGGTAGCTGGAGCGGAGCCCGGCCCGGGGCTCGGAGGAGCAGGGCCGCGCGCTCATGAACCTGCAGAACAACGAGGGGGGGGAGGGGGGAATGGGGAACGGCAGGAGGGGGCGGGGGGAGGGGGAGGGGAGCAGGGGGAGGGGGTTTCCTCCTCTGGGGATCTCAGCCCTGCAAGGCACAGGCAGGACAGCCCAGCCAGACATCATCATCATTATTATTGTCGTTATTGTTGTTGTTCATTGGAAGTTAGAGTCTCATGTCTTTCCAGCCTGCCCGGGCTGGCTTTGAACCGCAATCCTCAGCTCTCAGTCTCCTGAGTAGCTGGGATGACCGGCATGAGCCCCTGGTGCCCGGCTTAAAATTGGGTTTTTAAGTCTACTTTGTTTTTTTTTTTAGTAGTGCTTGGGTTTGAACTCAGGGCCTTCTTACTTACACCGGGGGTGGGGTTGACACTGAGCTACGCCCGGCCTGGTATCTCATTATTATTATTGTTTGAGTTAAACAGGAAGGGTCTAAAATTGGGAGCATCCCTTGCTTCCCCCCCCTACACACACACAGAGAAGGAGCTTGTAAAATATGAAGAGAACAAAACAAAAACATGGCCATGAGCTAGAGAGCAACTGTGTCTCGGGTTTGTTTAGCTGAGATCCTGCCCTTCCTGTCTGTCTGTCTGTCTGTGGGGTGTTTGTTCCCCAGTCAGTGGGGTTTAGGGGAAAGGTACACAGTTCTAGAAGCTTCCTGCTTCCTCCTTCCTGCGGGCAGGGTGGTCCGATGGCCGCCTCTAAACCCAAGGGTCATTTCCACAGCAATGTCCGGCCTGGCCCAGGCCCGGGCATGCGGGACGGACGGGTAATGGCAGGGCCGGTCTTTGAAGTGCTGTGGAGATGGGGTATCAGCCCTTCACCTCCCTCTCCTCCTCCAAACCACCTGAGATCTAAGCACATGGGTGCGTGGGGGAGGAAGGGGACCAGGGGAGGCTGCGGAGACCTTCGGGGTTCCTGGAGCTGAGCGGGAGACACATCTCCAAGAGAAATCTAAAAGAAACACTTGCTTGTCCCGGCTCAGCTGGACCCACTCACTCAGTCCCCAGAAAATTGTGGGTGTTTTCGTTTTTTTTTTTTTTGGGGGGGGGTGTGCGTGACGCCCCACACCGTGTGGAAGCGAGAGCCGGAGTTCCAAGCCCTTCTGCTTGGTCCTAGTTGGGGTAGATTTGTTTTCAAAGGAAATGACCCTTGGAGGTGAGCAGCCCCCCCACCCCCTCAGCCCCTCCCAGAAGGTGCCTGGGGCCCTGGGACGGAGAAAGTGGTCTTGCAGACAACGGGACAGTTTACCAGCCCAGGCCTGTCATCCCAGCTGCTCAGCAGGCTGAGATCTGAGGATTGCGATTCAAAGCCAGCCCGGGCAGGAAAGTCCGTGAGACTCTCATCTCCCATAAACCACCAGAAAACCAGAAGGGGCTCTGTGGCTCAAGCGGTAGAGTGCCTGCCTTGAGCTGAAGAGCTGAGGGACAGTGCCCAGGCCCCGAGTTCAAGCCCCAGTAATGCAGCTTGAGGAGGCTGAGCGCTCCCTGGCCCTTCCCTCCCTCCCTGCTCCCCGCAGGCTGTGTACCAGATGGCAGACACGTCCTGCCGGGTGTCACGGGGTGTGGGCTCCTGCAGCCTGGCTGCAGCTGGCCCCGTTCTGGAGGGTGGGGCTGAAGGAGAGGTACGACCCCGCGGCCGCTGTGCGCGTGACCCCGCGCGCCCACAGCCCCTTCACGCGGCCCACGCCCGACGACCTGGTCTACCTGGACCCCAGCCCCGAGTACTACCTGCTCGCCCGGCACCCACGGCCGCGCGTGCAACAAGACCTCGGCCGGCACGGAGGGCTGCGACCTGCTGTGCTGCGGGCGCGGCTTCCAGGCCTGGCGCGGCCTGTGCGTGGAGCGCTGCGGCTGCAATTCCACTGGTGCTGCTTCGTGCGCTGCAGGAAGTGCTGGCGGCCCGTGGAGCAGTACGTGTGCAAGTGAGGAGTCGGCATCGCAGAGTCCCAGAGAAAACGCCTTCGTACGTGTGAGTGGATGGGAGGCAAGGGACGCACCGTGACCGCTGGGCCTAGTGCCCCCACCCCCCGCCACCCCCAGGTTTGGGGGGGCCTCACCCCGATGTGACGGGGAGGGGGGGCTTTTCGTCCTCTGATGGGGGGGGCACCGTGCTTCGTGGAGAGTAGAAGTGGCCTGGGCAGCAGGGGACAGGACCCGTGGCCAGGCACGCCCATCACCTCCGCCCCGTGGGGGTCCCCTCCCACATTAAAGAGCTCCCCTCTCCCACGAGTCTCCATCCACACTGAGACTGTCACTGCTAGGGGCAGAACTCAGAGCCTGGAACCTGAGACACATGGGCCCCTGGCCTCCAGGGAGTTTGATCTGATTATGTTGTTGTTGTTGTTGTTGTTTTGTGCTGGTCCTGGGTCTTGAACTCTGGGCCTGGGCACTGTCCCTCAGCTCTTCAGCTCAAGGCTGGCGCTCTGCCACTTGAGCCACAGCGCCACTTCCGGTTTTCTGAGTGGTTTATTGGAGATCACGGACTTTCCTGCCCAGGCTGGCTTTGAACCGTGATCCTCAGATCGCAGCCTCCTGAGTAGCTGGGGTGACAGGCGGGAGCCACTGTGCCCTGGCTTCTTTTTCAGCCCCTTATTGCCTTTTTCCCCTGACAACGTAACAAGGTAATGAGAAACACTTTTCCTGCCAAACATTTCCTCCTCCTCCTCCTCCTCCTCCTCCTCCTCTTCCTCCTCTTCTTCCTCTTCTTCCTCTCCTCCTCCTCCTCCTCCTCCTCCTCCTCTTCTTCCTCTTCTTCCTCTCCTCCTCTCCCTCCTCCTCCCCCTCCTCCTTCTCTTCTTCCTCTTCTTCCTCTCCTCCTCCTCCTCCTCCTTCTTCTCCTCCTCCTCCTCCTCTTCCTCCTTCTCCTCCTCCTCTTCTTCTTCCTCCTCTCCTCCTCCTCCTCCTCCTCTTCCTCTTCTGCCACAAAGCAGTTGTGGTGGGGGTGAGGGAAGGCTTTCTCGTCAGGGCAGACGTGGCTACAGGTAGTGGAGAGTTACAGCCCTCACTCTCCAAAGAGCTTAAGAACAGGAGTGTTGTGGCGTGTGTGCGTGTGCGATCCTCCAGCACCCAGAGTGCAGGGCCAGGGAGGGAGGAGACGCATTTCAGCCTGGGGCGGTGAGTCCGGCCTCCCGTGGGGAGCCAGTGGGGAGCAGCAGCCTCCAGGGCACCTGACAGCGGGGTTGGGTGTGGAGGCCCCACCGGCCAGCCCCCACCGAGGACACACACACGCCAGTGCACACACGCGCACACGCATGAGTATGTATGCAAGTATATAAACATGCATATATACCTATATACACTTGCAGCGATATTTGAATTTTTGTATTATTATATGAAATATATTAACATAGAAAGATGTTATATATTTTTTAAAGTACACATTTTGGGCTGGGAAACTGGCTCAGAGGTAGAGTACTTGCCTAGCATGCAGGAAGTCCTGGGTTCAATTCCTCAATACCACATACATAGAAAAAGCCGAAAGAGGTGCTGTGGCTCAAGTGGTAGAGTTAGCCTTGAGCAAAAGAAGCTCAGGGACAGTGCCCAGGCCCTGAGTTCAAGCCCCAGGAATGACAAAAAAGGAATTTTAAAAAAAATCCAAGATAGGGCTAGGAAGGTGGCTCAGTGGTAGAGCGCTTGCCTTGCATGCATGAGGCCCTGGGTTCGATTCCTCAGCACCACAGAAGCAGAAAAAAGCCAGAAGTGGCGCTGTGGCTCAAGTGGTAGAGTGCCAGCCTTGAGCTGAAGAACTGAGAGACAGCGCCCAGGCCCAGAGTTCAGGCCCCACGACAGACAGACAGACAGACAGACAGACACACACACACACACACACACACACATGCACACACACGAAAAAACCCAAGATAGAAATAAAAAAAATCACCTGTTTTAAAAAATTGAAATAAAAATTGAAATAGCACTGGAAGTAGAGAGCCTGTCTAGCTTCTCCAGGTCTTGAGTTCAATTCCCAGCACAGGAAAAGAAAGGGAGGAGGGTGGGAGGGAGGGAAGGGGAAGAAGGGGGGAGGGCGGCATCCCAGGGCCACACCGCGTGGCTCCTGTCTGTGGGTCTGTCTCGGGTGGACAGGACCCAGAGCCCCCAGTCATCCATGGGGTGACTGTGGAGCCCCAGGTCCCACCCCAGCCCTTCCTCCCTGGCTTGTTTTCCTGCTCCATTGTTTCTGTGGGACAAAGGCCACAGTGAAGCTGCCGGGCCTGGCCTGGGCGTCTCTAGACAGGACGAGAGCCAGAGGCCTGGGGTGGGGGAGGGTCTGACCCCCGTGAGGCTGGCCAGGCCCCCTCTTCCCGTGGGCTCTGACAGGGCACCCAGGGCTCCGGGCCGGGCTACGCCCTCATTTTTGCTTCAGGCCGGGGGCTGCTGGACTCAAGTCCTCTGGGCTGAGTGACCAGGGCTGCGCGTGGCCTTGTTTATCTGCGGGGCCTGGGGAATTCTCCGGGAACAATAGGCTTTCTCTGGGACACTGGGGACACGGTGTCCCGGCGTTGGGGCCAGCGCTGGCTGGCTGTCCCCCGTGGGGGCGGGGCGGCCAGGCCGGCCTGTGCCCAGCTATGCCCCCCTCCCCCAAGGCCGGTGGCTGGGGTGGTGCGGGCAGGTTCCCAGCCAAGAAGATTGCCTAACCCCCGTCGCGCCACCAGATACCCTCCTCCAAGAAACGTCCATAACAGATCCAACCGGCTGCCAGGGACGGAGCACTGGACACAGAGTCCTTCCTTCCACAAGTCGGGGAAGGGGGTGGTTGGGAGATGGGGATCTCAGCGTCCGATCTGCCGGGGTGTCAGGCGCGAGCTACCGCCTCCCGGCGTAAAATAGAGTGCCTTTCTTTTTGGACATCTCCCAGTTATCCCCTCCCGCCCCTCCTCCCAGAAGTTGTAGAGCTCATTTCCCAGCTCGTGTCCAGTGAGGACCATGGCTGCGTCTGTTCAGTTCACCCTCTGTCCCCCCCCGTTTTTTGGGGGGGTGCAGGAAGGAGCAACTTCATTGTTGACAATTGCGGGGCTTGAACCCAGGGACTGGCCACTGAGCCCCTCTGTGCTCAAGGCGAGCGCGCTTACTTGAGCCGCAGCGCCACTTCCAGCTTTTTCTGCATATGTGGAGCTGAGGAATCGAACCCTGGGCTTCGTGCATGCAAGGCGAGCGCTCTACCATGGAGCCACCTGCCCAGCCCCGGCCCTAGTTTTTAAATGGCTCATTTGAGGCTCAGTGGAGACTGCTTTCCTCGTCTGCCCGGGACCCTGGGTTGAATCCCCAGGGCCGCGCACACACACACACACACACACCCTGATTTGAGCTTTGTGCTCCGGTGTCTGCATGGCATCCTGGGTCACACCTGTCTGGATCACGAGGCCAGAGCGTGTCTCCAGATGGTACCACGCACACTAATGATCCTTTTACGGTTGCTGCTAACTCTGAACTCGGCCTGCTCTTGGCACATAGACGTGACCTTTGGACACCGGAGGCCCCGGAGTCAGATCACACTGGCACGGCATTTTCCGAACACGTGTCCCAAGAAGACAGATTTGCACATGCAGGCCACTGCCCGCCTCTCCCCTCCCTCGGCCCTTGCTTCACCCCGGCTCTCCAAGCGCATGGGATATTCAGTAACAAAACCAGCAGCAGGGAATGTCTCATTTACTTCTTTTTTTTTTAGTGCCAGTCCTGGGGCTTGAACTCAGGACCTAGGCACTGTCCCTGAGCTTCTTTAGCTCTAGGCTGGCGCTCTACCACTTGAGCCACGGCACCACTTCCAGCTTTTTCTGTGTTTGTGGTGCAGAGAGATGGAAGCCAGGACTTCATGCATGCTAGGCGAGCACTGGACCACTGAGCCACCTGCCCAGCCCCTGGTTTGCTTCTTAGGACACGGAAATGTCCCCTTTTTCTGCAGTGGCCAAGGACAAGCTGCGAGTGTGAAAGTCACCCGACCCCCCCCCCAGCACGCCCACAGAGGAACATAGGTAGCATTTGGTAAATAACACCCAGTCCAGGCCAGCCGTGGTGACGCCGGCCTGTAATCCTAGCACCCCACACAGAGACTCTGAGGCCAGCCGGGTGACACAGGAAGACCTTGTCTTAGAAAACAACCACCAAGGGACAACTTGCAAAACACACCGGCCGCCCCCCTTCCCCAGATTCCTCCCCCCTCCCCCGAGCTGCCCCTCCCCTGGGGCCTGTGTGGTACACCCCCATTTTTCCATCTTGAACACCGGATCCTACTTGAATCTCGGGGTGCAGGGAAGTCTTGCACTTTGGACTCGGAACTGGGGCAGAGGACCTCTATCTCAGAGCGATATTGCTGTCAGCTGTCTCCTGCCAAATGCAGGTTTTGTAACTTTCTGTGGCCATGACCCAATCCTTGCTGGCCCAGACTCAGGCCAGCCCGCTCCATCTACGCTCCCTCTGGACACAGTGTGACCCAAAACCGAGGCCACCCCCCACTGTGGGCTCCCTCTGCCCCCCAGGGACCTGCCTTCCCCAATGCCCGGACTTCTGCCCTTTGTCCCTCAAGCCCCTGTGCTTGGGGCTGCAAGCTGTGACCGCTGCGGGACACGCGGAGGGAAGGGGTCAGCCCAAACTCTACATCAATTGGGAAGTCTCGATAAAAAAAAAATCCCTCATCGGTCTCCTTTCTCCAACTGTTTCTTTTGCTGGTTGGGGGGCTTGAACTCAGGGCCTGGGCACTGTCCCTCAGCTCTTCAGTTCAAGACTGGCGCTCTACCACTTGAGCCACAGCACTACTTTGTTTTTCTGGGGGTTCATGGGAGATCAGAGTCTCATGGACTTCCCTGCCCAGGCTGGCTTTGAACCGTGATCCTCAGATCTCAGCCTCCTGAGCAGCTGGGATGACAGATGTGAGCCACTGGTGCCAGGCTTCACACAGGATTCGTCTTACTGGTTCCCCTCAAATGAACTCC